AACATCTCAATCTGCTTCTAATTCAGATTTTCTGTTCAAACCACAGCCCATCCTCAAGATCATGTTCATATTTTCAGGTACCGCTTTCAAGTGACGAATGGGAGATGAACACCCTTTTTGCCAAAAACACATTTTTGCTCAGTGGCGGCAGCTCTTTTCAAAATCCTCTGTGTCCGTCAGTTCCCCCCGCTTTGCTCTGTCTTTTCTCCATGTGGTACATCATCATAACTACATGGTTCTGCTGGTTGACTAGCAGTCCACACCTCTGACAAATATCTTGGGGTTCTGATGATGAAATTAAGGGCCTCAGATAAAGGGTAAACGTTACCTGTATTTCACTAATGACTCCCAAGTCTTTGTTGTGTTCTGATAATGTTCACTTGTTACCCATTATAAAATAAGGCAAATACATCCAATTTTCATGATGAGCAAAAAGTATTCATAATCTTATCATGCAGAGAGGCACTGGAAACACTTAGGTATAGTTTGGAAAGAATTTCATACACATGTACGTACATATACTGTATTTGATATTTTAATTATAGCACTGACTCAGTTCCTTCTTCTCTTTTGCTTGTATGAAGCATTGTGAGGATGTGTGGATCGTATTTATGCACCAAACTACCGGGTCTAAAACCAGTCAAATCATTCCCTAAATGCAGTTGTTGTGTAAGAGGGCTGGAGTAGGTACCTGGATTGTAGCTCTGCCCTGTAGCTCTTCCTGGAAGCTGGGTCCTATGGTTTTAAATAATAAAAGAGGCCCAGAGTACTAGATAAATAAGCAATACAGACATTATCTCAGGAAGAACCGTGACTTCCAAAATGAGGTGCTAACAAATCACACTGTCTATACCACCATGTTTTGCAAGGTGAAAAATTCCATGACCGTTGTCTTGTCTACTAAAGATGCAGCTTTTTCTTATTGTATGTGACTTATTACAAAAGTCCAATGCAGCCAAACTGGTTTTAAATGTAGAAATGCAACTAATGCCTCATTCCATTAACTATTGAAAAACTGTAAACCTTTTCAGGATTTTAGTCATTAGAGCTTGAGATTCCCAGAGGAATGAAGCATAAAAATCAAGCTATGTCCCTGCCACAAATGGCTACAATATCTAGAATGCAAACATAATGTGCTGAAATAGGACAGCATTTTATGGAAGACAAGAGGAAAGTAGCAGATTCCTATAATTAAGACTAGCAATATGTTAGTCATTTTAATTCCCAGGATCTGCATATAGTTACAGTTGAATAAGAAAGTAAAAAGTAATTACTTCTGTTTTAAATTGAAAATGCTTGACTCTTAGAAAAATGGCAGTTCCTCTTTCTTTTATGCTAGCTTTCCCAAAGGCAAAATAAGATGTTAAGTTCATTTTTTATTTCAATAAATAGACAGTTACACTCAAAGTTCAAGGAGGATCTGTTTGCTACAAAATTAGATGCGGTTGTAGCTCTTGGTTCTCTAGGTTATCAGATTTGCTAGTTAAAAAATGGTATGTGTAGCCCCAAGGAAAGAGCTGATACTCGAATATATATGTGTTCAAATCAATAGGTATTACCCCTTATTGAGTATCTCAGATATAAGTCATGTGAGCACATGATTGTGACCGCAACAGCAGCTGCATCCCAAGGGGTGTCAGGAGGACAGGGAAGGACACCAAGCCACACTCAGTCACCCTTTTGGTGGTTATTCCAAAGTCCTTCGAATGGGTCTTCTTTCTGAACATCTCTTCCATACAAGTAAAAAGGGTGCACAGGCGTTTTCCCACAGTACACCACAGGAGACAATATGGGGAAGTCTGAACTAGAAACTGTTACATTTACGCAACTAGATGAGACATTTCACAATAAGAGTTTTACATTTTCATGAACCTTTAAGTACTTCTTGTTTCCCGTAAGGAGAGACTGGCCTTTCTTGCTACACTTTGGCACTTCCAGTGAGAGAGAAAACCAGGAAATGTAATCAAATTGAATATGAAAGCAGAATAAGCTAGAAAGAGTCTGACAAACAAACAGAACTTCTAATCATTCGTGTGACTTCTACCAGGGCCCTAGGCTGATGTTTGAAAGAGTTCTGACTTTATGTGATCCCATGAATGCAATATCTGCCTTAGAATGCAAGTATTAAAATACTATGATATCCATAGATTATGTAACACCCAGAGGACCCTAATGTCCACTAGGGACTTCACGTGATGATAATGTGTCCATGATGGTTCATCCATTCTAACAGATGTACCACTCTGGTAGACTCTGTTGATAATAGGAGAGACTGTGCATGGGTGTATGGGAGGTGAGGGGGAGCTGCTGGGTGCATGTGGGATATTTCTGTACCTATCTCTCAATTTTGCTGTGAACTTAAAACTACTCTAAAAAAATGAACTCTTTAAAAAATACTTATGTCTAATGGAGATATTGTGTCTGGTGAAGATAGGCTCATATTCCATTTAAAGAAAATTTCTCCTCTAAGAAATTAAGCACTAATAATGTAGATACTGCTAGAAATACCTACAAGCTTTTTTTTACATTTACCCTTTGCAAATACAGTAATAATATGAAGATGCATGTTAGATAAAGCACATATGACCTAAAGACTGTTTTGACTGTTGGAGCCTATCACAGAATTAGGCAGCACACAGCTATTTAATTACTACAATTGTTATTCTGATAAGCAAGAGTTTGTTCTACACTAAAATTTCTTTCTTTCCTCCTCCCAACGTATAACTTACACTTTCAGCGAAATATTTCCCATACAACTCCACTTTTCTTTCTTTGATGTTGCAAATTTTGGCTGAGAAGAATCAGACCCTGACACTACTGAGGAAAAAAAACTTGTGATAACCAAACCGTCCCTTGCCCAGGAACCCAAGAAAAGCCATTAAAGAAAGGCCCAAACCTACTTTACCTGAGCAGCATAGCTCTTAAGTAAAACTCTCTTCATATGGAACTTTCACCAGTATGTTGCAATCTTCCATTTTGTTAGGATATGATTACATTCAGGTCTACATGAAGTTAGGATAGACACGTTGCCACCAAAAATAAATTTGTGTTTCTATAACATCTGTTTATGGCGGTGTATATAAATAAGATGAGTTTCCACCCCAGGGTAGGACAAAGAAAAATACATATCTTTTTATGAGTTGGCTTTCTGAAAATGCAGCTAAATGTAAGAATGTGGGGGTGGAACCCAATATAAATGCAATGTCAGAACAAAAAAGAACCACCTACTAAAATCTTTCTTTAAAAAGCATCCATTTCTAAAGAAGAAGCCTTGCACGTAGGCTCACATGTAGATTTACTACCTACCCCAAGTAGCCTTCTGACAAGTGCTTCCTCGAGGGACAATCTTTAAACCTCGAGGTTAAAAAAGTAATTAAGCAAGCTGTAGAACTGAGATATCTGTTACTATTCTAAATATTTAACAGAAGTTGAGCGTGGCAGGGACTTGCAGTTCTATTCCTGAGAGTTACACCTTTGGAAAATGATTTGAAAATCAACATTCAGAGATAGACAAGATTAAGCCCTAACCAGCTCAGCTATTAAGAAGTGCATCAGTCATTCTATGTGTTGACTTATACTAATACTTGAGAAGGATATTGGTTTTTTTCTGCATATATATATAATTTATAATTTATATGTTATATAGGTAGGCAGATGTATGTATATTTTTAAATGCCTGGGAATGCAAATCAGATGGGCTGCTTTTTCATTGGCAGGCTCCCTAGCATGTTGCAAAAGTATAATAGACCTGGCTCCCTGACCTTAAATACTAGAAATATCCCCCAGTCATTGTGAAACACAAAAACACACATATACCCAAACCCCCACTGGAGAGTGGTACTGCCCAGGTTGAGAACTACTCCATGAACACAGGCTGATAGGCAAGTCACAGAGTCTTCCCTTTGGAGGTCTAGGTGACCTGGGGCCAGTGTTACTGGATACACAACCTAACTCTGCAGGGAGCTCCTCCCACTACCAGGAATAGGCTTGGCCAGAAACCTCCTTCCAACTTTCTCAACTTAGAACGTTTGCTTCACCAGCGCCTGAGGCTGATCTAGTGTTTGCATCTCTGACATTGACAGGGGAAGGGAAGTATGGGAAATCAGAAAAAAAAAAAAAACAACTTTGAATTTTGTTCAAACTGTAAAGAGCAAACATATACTCTACCTTCACCCTTAAATGGATGACCCTTTATTTTCAGGTATTAATTTTTTAACGTGAATGATCTTTCTCAAACACCTTAGAAATGTTAGATTTTATTTATTTTATGACTTTCAAGTACTTTAATATGATTTTTTTTTAAATGGTTCCAAAGTATTCTGGAAAATATAGACACCAAAAATATTCCTAAATTGACACAGAAAATATTATTAAATTACGTCCTGTCTAAAATGGGGGAAATCTGATCCCAACAAGGTACCAGGCACTATGCTAGATGTTTTGTATATATATATATATTTTTATATCCTCATATCAGCCCGGCTTGGTAGATATATTATTATCACTATTTTATACATGAGAAAACTCAGCCAAAGAAAATTTAAGAAATTCTAAGAAGTATTCGGAAGACATACATCACTTTTAGAATGCATGGGTTTTAAAAACGAATATGTTTCTAACTTTGACACCGATACAAGTATTTATTCTGATGCCAATTAAAATGTAAGTACATATCCTTCTATCTCACCCTCATGGAATCCAAAGATAGCCTCATTGTTGAAACTAAATTAATTTCAGTTATTTTTAATGATTGCTCCAAGAAGTGTGAAGGAAAAATGGTATCTGTTGATGATCCTAGGAGTTCTCAGGGGACACAGACTGCTCCTCTGTGTCCTGTGAGTTAAAGATGGACACAGTGTACCATCCCCGCCCGGATGTAGCTATAGACTCAGAATAAAATCACATGGTCTCTGAAATGTTTGGTAGAAAAGCAAAAAGAAACCAAGACTGCATCTGCCTGTGGCAAGGATGTAAACAAGGAAATAAAGGAAGGTACATACCTGCCACTTGCTCTCCACCGGCCTTCCATCCTTCTCTCTTCTTTCCTTTCTGTCACCCAAGGAGTATTTACTAAGGGCTTAACAGGTGCCCGGCTCTATGCTCCTGTTAATTTGCCCTTCTCCCAGAGGCATCTTACTCAGGACATTTTCTCACCTACTCGATTTCCCTCTGCTCTGGGAATATGTCCTTAGGTTTTCTGTTCTCACTCTGGGGTGACTCTCACAGTCTCTGTTTCACGCAGTCGTGGTGGTGGTTTTCTTTTCCCTCCTCTGGTTTGAAGATCAACACCTGTGGAGAGGATGACTACTTTTCTTCTCCTCCCCAGTTGGCCTCCTGCAAGACATTTCTCTAAATTGGCACATTAAATCTTGGAAAACGGTAATGTCTGTGTATCCCCACCCCACCCAGCCCTTGTTTTGTGGCTGGCACAGGGGGCCCTGAAAATTGGGTGCTTGTGTGATTTTTTTTCCCTGGGCCAGCTCATGCTACTACATTTTGCTTTTCCAAGAAAATGGTCATTGGTTGACCTTTTGGGGTTACCTTCAGAAAAAAAAAATCAGCCACATTGCTTAAGACCTAGAGAAAGAGTTTCTCATAATGGTCCTTTTCAGAATGATGTAACTTTGACTGTGCTTAGCAGGTATTTATCATAGTTAGTGTTGCATTTGTGGTCATTTCTTCAATCTGCTGGGCAAGATATTTCTTATTTCTTTTCCTTTTCCTGTTTATTGTGTTGTTTTGGGTGTCTTTTGTGGAGGACTGCTGAATAAAAGTACTTTTATTCACCCATCCCTTTTAGAAGAAGTGACTTAGGTGGATTAAATGGATGCATAATTAGTTATTGCACTTAAATATCATGCAGGGTAACCATTGCTCAGAGCTATTACCTGTAAAATAAATTTGATGGCTTAAATAGCCAATTTATTAACAATGCTATGCCAAACTGTATACAGCTATGAGAATTATGAGTCTCAATCAAAGGATGTTAGGACTTAAGTGAATATAGTTTTACCACGTATAGTTTTAATAAGCCTAGATTAAAGAGTACAGAAAAATAAGTCACTTCAACTGAAAATTTAAAATGTGTACAGAACATTTACTAAACATTGTTAGATTTTCAGCAATCAATATGGTAATTCTTTGTAACTTTAAAAATAAATATTAACTTCATCAGAACAGATACAATATTGGAATTGTCACACATTTGACATCCACTTAACCAGTGTTTGAAAAGCTCTTTTACATGTGTCCTTTGCATGTGTGATATTGTGTAATTCATTCATTCCTGAATACTTTCAAATTGACCTCTGAGGCATCTTAGTTACATTCACCGTGCCTCTTTTGATATAAACAAATGACTGACAGTTGTTTAACTCATAATATAACTTGTTGCCAATGCATAATATAACTTGTTGCCAAATACATGCACATATGGGAAGTAAGAGTTAACGGTACACAGATGGTAATGCAGAAATTTTTTTTACAGACTTACACCTTGCTGGACAAAGGAAACAATCAGAGCAGTGATTCACGACACAATGAAAAAGAATAAATATGGATCAATATCAATCCAGATTCATCTCAAGGGAATATCCTTCCCTCATTTAATGTAGTCACTCACACAGCTGTCCATCGAGCAGAACGTAATAGGGATTAGTACTGTTGATTGGAATTAAAAAGATCTGGGTTAAAATCCTGGCTCACCCAGTAACAATGTAATTTTAGGCAAGTTTCTTAAAATCTCTGATTCAGTTTCTTTACTAATAGAGTAATAGAGGTAATACCGACTTCAAAGGTTTTATTAAGGATTAAATGAGATCATGTTTTATGTCAAGTGCTCATAAGAGTATGTGGTACATAAGAACATTGCTCTTATTATCATTGTTGCTGTTATGTCAAAAAAAAGTTATTTGACTAAATACAGCAAAAGCAGAAGAAACAAATCTCATTCCAACTACAAACCACCTCAGTAAAAATATTTTGTTTTGTTTGTTTTGCTTAAATCTACATCCACCTGAGAGGTAACCTAAACTTTAACCAAAAATCACAAACTTACTGTTGTGGAAACAGGAGAAATAAAGGTAAAGCAGTTTATTAAATATCTATGAAAGCAATGATTTCTGATTCCTTTTTCATGACCTTCTTACAAATATCAAAATCACCGAGATTCAAGCAACTGTTAGGTTTGACATAGCTCACACATAACCTCACATTTAATTTCCAAAACACAGCTGTATCTTTACTCTGACATCAGTATATATTTTGTGTTCCTGTTTTTATAAAAATGACAAAATGATTCATTTCTCAGGGATTTTACTACTTAACAAAGAGAAAATGGTCAGAGATCCCTAAAATTCAGAAACACATATTCACCACACTTTTCTAGGACTGTGGTATGAAACCTTTGCAAAAGTGATGTTTGTATGAAGATTTTCACAAGTTTCAAAGGTTGTCCAGAATTATCCTGAACAATTTAAGCTTTCCTGTAATTCTTTAAAAGGAAGACCTAAAGTTAACAAGATTGCCAAATACCAGGTTGACAGCCTTGAGGACTAATTTTCCCTGCCATTCAAAACATTTAACTTTAGTTACTTATACTAACTCATTGTCTGATGAATACAGATGAAAGATATTCAGTTAACATATATTATCCTGAGATACCATAAATTGTGACACACCAGACAGTTTAGTTTCTGTTGGTTTAATTACAAGAGGCACGGTCTTTACTCATAGGGTCTTAATGAACCAAAAGACGGGTTTTTTCCCAAAGAGTTTCTGGATTAATATAGGTAGTTTAAGATTTGATTAAGTTCTTAGGGTAAATTGTTTACTAGTTATGTATCTGAAATTATACCAAACCAAGGTTTAGTAGAAACCTTAGGTAACTTCATTATGAAGTCGGAAAATCTCTTTTCCATGCAAAGGTGAAAGAATATGAGATAAGTGAGTGGAGCTTTTTCAGCTAAGATGGTCAAAGGGAAGAATGTGACACAGGAAGCTGTCTAAGATACAGTGGTAAATAATACAGATCTACGCTGAGCTGATTTTAGTGTATGTGTCGCTATGCAAATGCATCAAGTATGCGTATGGAGTAAAAAACTGTGAAGCCTCCGTGGTAATTCCCAGGAGCAGACCTCAGCTACCAGCTCAGCTCTAGTGGTCATTTTTGACACAGAAGAAACAGGAGTATTTATGGGATCAGGAAGACCACTGGAGATGCTCGACATCAATCTAAGAAGATAGTATTCATGTCAGACTTTCAACAGCATCTCTCTAAATTATATCATTGCTGAATCTTAGAGTCTGAAAATGATATTTCCTGAAAGATGTTCCAGATTTGGGCAAAACAAACAAGAGGGGAGAGAGATGATGACTGACTAGGTCCTACGTGGAAGAAAGAAGAATTTCTGGAGGTGTCTTCTCCTCTTCAGACCCCTAAGGAACTAATCTGTTACACGTACCATTCTGGAAGTCCCTTCCCGAGTCCCAGGGAGCCGTGGGTCTGCCTGCAAATCCAGTTCTGCATTCATGCATCTTAAACCTTTTCGACAAGGGATCGCGATCCTTTCCATAGCTTTTCAAGAATCCATATTTTCCAAGCTATCTTTTTTCTTTTTCTTTTTAATCATCACACTCTTCATTCTTTATGTTCTTCCAACATGGACTTTTTCAAACAAACTTCAACTTAAAATGAGTCAGAGAAACAGGACTCATTCTAGAGAACTGTGAAGTTGATGGAGATTGTTTTTTTGTCTTACTTTGAAGCCACACACTCTGATACATTCTATTTCAAAAATATTTGCTGATGATTAAAACCTCTGGGAATATCAAGAATACAGTCTGTACAGAAGAAAAGTAGAAGAGGTAAGGAAGGGAATTATGGTCGGCCAGCTAGGTAAAAATATCCAGAAGATAGATTCTCCATTGATAAGGAACAGATGTAGCCAGTACGATACAAGTTTCTCAGAATCCTGGATCAGTAAGCGTTTGATGTGCCCACTGGAAAAAGTGTCCATGCCAAACATGGCAGATCAATGATAGTGTCCAGTTTGCCTGCCTGGAAGTTGTTTCTTCTGTGGCATGTGAAAATAGCTTTTCCTTGCCCTTTCCCACTCCTAGGCAGGGTTTGACATAAAGGCAGTCTCTTGGCAGATTTCCCAGTAGATTACCCTTCTTGGTCAATTTGACTGTTGGACACGAAGATGGGCACCTCAGGGACCTTAGGTATCAAATCCAGCCGAGTCAACAAAATCCATGCAATATATGTCCTCCTGCCAAAGATACAGCACTTTGACAAATCCGTTAACAGAAAGTTCATGAAGTTTTGCGATGCACCAGAGTTTACTTGCCTTACATCATATTTACTCTTTGTATCACAAACCCAGATTGCATAGCAAAAAACATGGTTGGAATACACAGGATACGTGGATTCTTGTACTACATGATTCTGGGGAACTGGAAGAATGAGGGAATCCTATGTGCCTTGCATAAGTCAGCAGGAATTGAACTGGCCAAGCTTCCTTTTAATGAATGTATCAAAATGCCTACTCCTGGCTGCTGTGTGTATCAGCTGTGGACAGTGATTAATTCCTGGCCTCCTCTACTTCCACTCATGCCATAAGAGGAGGAGGGGTAGCATCTTTGCCCACTGTAAAGTAAGACATATGAAACAAGGCTAACAAAGCACCTTGGGTCAAGTTGCAGCAGGAGTGATGGCAAATACATTGGAATGAGTCAATGCAGGATTAGAACAAAGAATGTAATTCATGGAAACCTCTCAAACGTACATGTCGGGATGTGCTAAACAGTTGACTTGAGTGGATTTGTAGCAGCATGTGAAGATGATTTACATAAATGTGAACTCATGCCCAGAAAACAAATGTGACTTGCAAATGTACAACCCTGAAATCATGGAAGATGTACACAGAAGCAGATACAACCTCTAGTAAGCAAAAACCATTACTCCACTTGACTGCTGTTACACATTTAGTGAACACCAATAATACCCTGCTAGGATGAGACTAGATGAGCAGGCCTATCTCTAGCTGGACTGCTGAAGGGCCAAGTCCATGCACACCCCTGTCACTATCCCCATCACCCCCATCCCACAACTGA